TGACTTTTAATGTCTCACTATCCATTAAAGTATCTATATGTAACCTCTTAGCTTCCGCAACCCCTTCTCTATCTTAGGGCACCTCTATAGTCACCAAGTTACTTTTGCAAGTTGGTACTGTAATTATAATAGTTGCAAATGTAATGGCAGCAATTCCAACGCCTCTTCCTTTTTTCATGCTCTCTTTTCCATGTTGATCACACACAAAAAAACTCTATAAACAAAATCAGTTTTTTTTGTACTTTAATATTTGATTTTACAAATGCTTGTTGGATTGAAGAACTATTGGAATCATGTAAGTGCTAAAATCTTTCTTGTGAGCCTCCTTTTCACTACTATTCTGCCATATTAGATATAGTCACTCCTATAAATTGTCTATTGCTTTGCATATTACTTTTTTAGGACTATTGTTTAACATTACTTCTTTCACATAGCTTAGCAGATTAATTTTAGTCGACATGAGGGTGGTTCTTTAACTTTGGTCAGACTCAGCCTTTGCGTGTAGCGGACGTTGCAAAGTTTTTGTTTTGCTTTCTCATGTCATTCTCTATTCTCATGTAATTTAATTAATTTTTTCTTATGCCAATTAGTAATTGGGTGTTATTGTCTTTGTATAGTCCTCATGTGCATATAGGCTTCCATAAATTTTTTTCCCATCTAGGCTTTCGATTTGGATAAATGAAAATTAACTGAACTTTGTTTATATATTTTATATTTCTTTTTCTTTTCCTCTTCCTCATGGATCTTTTTTCCAAATTACTAATAATTAGAAGATATGAACATTACTTGTTTTTTTCATTATGTCTAACCAATAGCTATTGTTGGATTTCTTGTTTACTCCAGAACTAATAGTGTCGATGATAACTACATATCAGATTTACGTGGTCATTCATTGTCTACTAAGAGGCTTTTTTTGTCAATTATTTTTTTTTGTTTGTAGATATACTTGGTAACTCTCAATATATGAAACCAACATTGGAATGCCCAGATCTCGAAAATGCACGTTATTGTTATCACTAGAGGTCTATGTTTGAAACATGTTGAGGACTAGGAAATGACAAGAAATAAAGAATGCATTTTCTCCAACTATTCTATTCAATGTTACATTGGTATTTTTCATTATAGATGTGGTCCTTCATTTATAAATTATCAACGTTTACTAAATAAGTAGATTTCGTGAAAAATGGTCCCTGGTTTTAACAAAATATATTTTACTCAAAATGATACATGTGCAACGTAAATGTGCAGCAACTAGTTAATAGAAATTTTAAGTGGGGACAAATTTTTAAAAATTATAAATTTACAAAAATTTCTAAACTATCCAAAAAAATTTTTAAATTACACTAAGGAGGTTGTCCCCATTGCCCCGATGTAAATCCGCCGAGTTTCCTAAAAATGAAAAGAATAGAAAAAAAGTGTGTAAGAGAGAGGAGAAAGAGAGAGAGAGAAAGAGAACTTACGTTTGGGCAAGACACTAACACCGAGCTTTGTAATTTAGAGTTATGTTTTTGTGAAAAATAGAGTGAATAATCTCGTAGGCTTTTTATAAGAGGAATTCTTTATGCAGGAATGCTTTTAAGTTTTTTGGATCACAATACTTTTATGTTAATTGTGTTTTTTTTTTACGAGATAAAAAAATGCCAACTCAATTTGATGTAATACATTTTACACCAAAAACTGCCAACTGCTATGTTTTGGGGATTACAATACTATTAGCACTTGTCTTTGCATAAATATAGCTCAAATTCTTAATATCTTTGTCTTGCACCAACAGTTTCGGCAAGTGCTTATTTTCCTTTCTTGCACAAACGTAAATTAATACAAATAGATAGACATGGACATGCTTATAGAATAAGTTTGATTGATTCACAACTGTATCAAATACAACAGCATTTTTGAAACAACTTTTCAGCAATTTTATGTTGAAGCAGCAATCAATCAATCAATGCATTTCGCGATGAAGATCTACCCTCAAGTAGCCTCAAATGCATCAATCAAGAGTACCTAATTGTAACTACATAGCTGCCACTGTTTCTCCAAGTCCAACTAATCCCATGGAGGTACAAAAATTTACCCTCTCTCACCAGAATCTGGCAACCTGAGCCAGAATATTGATACAGAAAATATCAAAACAATTGAATTCTAGAATATTGGGAAAAAATTAACTTCTTTGGTTTGTCCGGCTTCCCAACAACTATTCACGCATCCAGCGACAAACAAACAATGGGTTTGGCTTAGGTATCAAAGGAAGGAGGTATATTACTGAAATAGGATCAATCATATTTTAGGTCAAGTTACAATGCTTTGGGGGAGTTCAGGAGCGCTATAATATAATGGGATCATCGATCTCAAATACCTTAAAAATTTATAACTTGACCCCCAAAAAAAATTGTTTTTCCGTATAAACTTATCCAAAAACTATATGCATAAAAGGAATTATGATCCAGTTACTCTAAAGAGCAGGAGCAATTGCCGGGAGAAATAAAAACATCAAGAAGGAAGTGAGAGAAATTTACCTTCTAAAGTTTTAATCTGCCTGCTCGACAAGGTGCTGGGTACCACAACCATATGAATCAAGGTTGCTCTGTCAGATGCATTTTAGTCATGTGGGATCAAGGATTGTATTTCCCAAAAATTAATCCAAATCCGACAAACATGAGCTATCTTTGGCCAGTCCTCTCCTTTCTCTTTCTCGCATCGCCTCTCCAAATGTGGACACTCTTCAATTCGCAGTGTTTCGAGTGACTGCAGCCCATCTGGCAAGGAAATCAAGTTGGGGCAATACTGAATTATCAACGCTAGTAAGAAATTTTCTATTTTTTTAGGGGGCAGGAAAACAATGTATCCCAAAAAAGAATTGAGTAAATAACTAATCAAATAGCAGCCATAATTGAGGAAATTGAACTGAGTGAAAGCATAGAGCAAAGAGACATTCCATACTATTGAACCCAAAAGGCTAATAGAGTCAATTGATGTTGAACAAAATGAAAGGCTAGACCTATAACATTTCTGCATCCATGGATATCATTATCAGGCGTTGTTTAGATGGTTGCAGAAAGTTCTTTGCTGGAAGCGGCAAGTTCCAAGTGGTAATGCAAGGTTTGATTCCCCATTGGGACCGGACTCCATGGGCAACAAAGATCAAAAAATACTTCCCCATACTGTATCACAAGCATTGGAAGCCAATGGTGATCATTGATTATGTCTGGCAGTCAAACCATGCCTGTTGCCACCTAGTTTGGACAGGAACAGAATTTGCCATGATCAGTGACCATAAATACCACAAACAAGATTCACAAATGTGACTATTTTAGATAAAAGTGAAGGTGATTTTTTCATAGTCTTCGAAATGTTGAGTGAACTATGTAGGATCTTGTGGACAACTCAAATCATGGGCCAAAAAGAAATTCACCCAATTAAGTGGCTTCAAATAATTCGACATTCTATTACAGCTGCTACGTGATAAAAGAATAATTGATAGTAATTGTATGAGACTTGTCTATTGTAGAATAGTAACCATATCTATTCCTCAGATGAATAGGCACCAATCAATAGGATATCTATAATATAAAACACGTCAAGCTTTAATAAACCTATCCGACGGTTTCAAATAAACTCATCTAACGGCCATATACTTCCCTCTCAAGAATCTAGGTTTACGTTACACCGTACCTTCAGACATGGATTACCCAAGTTATAAAACATAGAAGAATGTTATGCGAGCAACATATTCTAATTATAAGTTATGACAACTAAATATGCGCTCTACCCTCAGAACCTATTATTAATAATAAAACAATACAAGCAACTTAAACCCTGAACAATAAAATGTGCATTCTCTGTTTTCAAAGTTGTGGTCTATCACAACATGCTTTTGTGCAAGCAATAAGAATTAAAAAGTCTTGTGTACAAGGCTCCCACCTCTGGCAAAGTCGGGGATTGGTGAGTTTCAGGTACTAGAATATCATTTGCTATCCCTTAGAGGAAAGATGTTTAGATTCTGCATATTGTTTGTTCTTAATTGAAGCCTTTGAAAATAATTGTGATTTCCCAAACTAGCTAGAAGGTGCCTATACAAAATCAAAACCAGTTGAACAGAAAAAACAAGTATAATTAAAAAATACACGCTTCTCCGTTCATCTAAATACACAATATTCCAGCTAAATCCATATGAAATCATCTAGAAGATAAACTTTTCAACTTCAACTTCAGCATTATGTTCATTCATAATTGAACAGATAAGGCAAAGTCCACGAGTGTTCAGTTATCAATTAGCACTAAATGAACAATAATATTAGGCAAGAGAACAAACCTCAACTTCCATGGCACTAAAACCAAATCCAGAGTCCCCTAAATAGAAACCACAACCCGACCAGATGAAGCCACTGCCACAGTAATGCAATATCCCAGACCATCCCCATTGTCCCCCAAGTCCCAACATCCAACCTACTCCTCGGCTTTGTGTGAATCAACACAGCCCGACCAACGTTGATTGTGTTCACCCCCTCAGACACCAAAATCGCATCCCTAATTATTCTCATCGATGTTATAAAATTGAATGGTCGAACATCCTTAGCCAATTGTGCCTCCATTCTTGACACATTTTCCTTTGCCTCTTCACTATCGCCTCAACCCAAGTATGATTCTTTCCCAAACAAAAAAGGTCATTATTAATCTCCTTATGAATCATTCCAAAACCCTTTTCGCATCCCCAACAAAATCCCACACTCGATTTCCTTAAGTCAATCTCTTCCTTACATATATCAACTAATAAAAAATTCATGTCCTTGGACCACTTTGGAGGTTCCCCAAAATGCAATTACCAATTCAGCCTTGCACCAAGCACTAATGCAACATCACATTTCCCAATCGCCATTGACCTTTCCCCCATTGCAACTAGCTCATGTGTATCAGACAACAATCCCTTTCCTATTGAAGTTCGCAGAAATGGAATTACAGTGCTTTCAACTAACTTTTAAAGTTCATTCTCTGCTCTAGCAATGGCAAGGCCCTTACCAAATACAATCAACGGCCTCTCCGATTGTCTTGTCTCAACATCGAAACTTCCTTTTCAATCTCTGAATATTCCGACACTTCCTGTCACTTCTTCCTATTTCTTTCTACATTTCTGAGCATCAGTTTTCAATTTATTGACCTCCAATTCAGTTTTGATGAAGCACATCAGAGGGTAAGTCTAAGTAACACCCACCAAGTCGGCCCAATTTGGCCTAGTGAATAACTTCGAAAATACAATTAGAGATAAGTTTGATATCAGTGGTTTCTGTGGCAAATCTCGAGAAGGGTTTAACCGATGTGATTTGATCGAGCTCTTGAAAATCGTCGTGGCCAGAGTCTTTTTGATTGCAAGAGTCAGAGATGACGACCATGGGCCAAGAGTTAACGGTGGCGTTGGAAAGACCAGCGAGGCCATGGACGCAGTAGTGCTAGAGATGCTGAGGACGATTCCCTGCCGGCTAGTGAGGTACCCGAATGTCGGGCCGGCATACCCATATGATTGATTGCTCATTGTGTAAGGCGATGAATTAGATTCGAAGGGGGACGGAGTGGTTGGCGAGGGAGATGACTAGGATTCCAACGACGCTGAACATGCGATCCACGCCGGCCCCTACCAAAGAAATGGCTACTTAGGAATTGCCATTGATTCGGGTTTTGTGATCGGAGTTGATGACTACCATCGATGAAAGAAGGGTATTGTTTGGAGGTGAACTGACGTATAGAGTTCTGTACCCAAATTACCAAATTTCACCCGATGGTGAGTCAATGTACTCAAATTTGAATAAAAATTCTGAATTGGTATAAATTAGTTCAATAAACTCACATCTCTCTGCAGCCAATCCACCATCGATGCCCTTGACCCCAAATCTCTCATCCCAAGTCTCAACTCAGTTTGTGCCTGATTTTTTTATCAACTTTGCATAAATAAATAAAAAAGCCCGTAAATTTGTTGTCGGTGATGATGGCGAAGTCGGGACAGGCTCAAATATGGAAAATTAGCTGAAAATGAAGAAAATACAAGATGAAAAAGGAAGAAGATTACTTAAAAATCTTTGAAGTCGTGGGTGCTTTTGGCAGTGGCGTTGAAGGGAAGCTTGATGTAGGATGGGAAGAGCTAAAAACCATGGGAAAATAGAAAGAGAAGAATAAAGAAGGAAGTGGAAGGATTTACCTCGTTCTCACAAAAAATTTGTCAAGAAATACACAATTTTCTACAGAGAAATAATTTTTATTATATCTCCCTTTCCCTAATAAAAATAATTGGGATTACACCATTATTTATTGGTCAAATTCCCTACTAAAATAAAAACTATTCTACTGAAAGAGTTTCATAACCAAACTTTCAAATTCCTATCCTACTAAAATTCTATAACAATTTCTTAGTCAAATTCTACTCCTAGTCATACAAATATTTCCTAACTAATAAAATAATACTAAAATAAATAATAAAATTCAATTCTTAAATTTAAGCTAATTCAGTCCCTTTTTGATCTCTATCAATTCTTCCTGGCTAAAAAAATCTCTTCTCCAAAGAGTTATTGCAGCAAGAATACTCTAAGAGAATTGACATCAAATTGTGAAACACATCGTCAAACCTAATAGCATAGAAGTAAGATCTCTCTTCAATGACATAATATAGGATATCACAATGGGAGGAATCTATTCTCGAATCTTCATAACCTTCACACTTTGTTCTAGATAAAAGGACGGTGAGGATGTTGACGAAAAAGTAGCAACTCCATCTAAAATAATTACGCTTGAAACTTGTTTTCCATCTTGTAGGAACACCCTATACAATTGGCTTGCCAAAAACAATTGTTGTGGGATGGATAAAAGTAGAACTTTTGGACTCATCAACATTGAATAACTTCAGTTTAACGCAATTCAGTCGAATTGGAACTTGTAGTGGTAGAACTTGTGGTTTAACTAGAGGGGGTTGTGTTTAACCATTTTTTGATTAGCAGTTGAGGAGACAAAGTTAAAATCTTCACTTGTTTTGGTTTCACAAACTATAGCGAGTACAAGTTCTCTCAGTGAATCAATGGATGCTGGAATTGTATGATTGTATCTCGTCTAGTATTCATAGCCTTCTGTAAAAAAACTTGTGCTTGGGATAAAGCCTCCACTTTAGTATTTAATTCAATGTTGGAAATCATATTGATCGGAAGAGAATTTTAAGAAATTNAGAGTCCATTGGCCTATATCCTACACATAAGTGAGAAAAAACTACGGTAGGAAGTTCGAAGTTGTACCAAACAAACAAAAACCAAACAGCAACCGAATGTCCAACATCTCTTTATCTGGTGGAGATCCTATTACCAAGGAGCAATAGTTTTNATAATTTTTGAAACTTTAGGGGCTAAAATATAATTTTAAAAATTTTTGGGGCTAAAATGTAATTTCTAAAACTTTGGAGGCAAAAGTGTAATTTTAAAAACTCTAGAGGTCAAATATATAATTTTGAAAAGTCTNATGCCTGCTTTTCAGTTTCAGCTTCCACTGGGATGGCTGGAGTATGATAGAATTTCTACTAGCTTTACTTCCACTCTGCAACAGGTGTTGAGTACTAATGTAACAAGTGATAGATACATTAACACAATATATACATATATATCTATATAAATAAGTACACATGCATACATTTCCGTAATAGTGTGTCTGAAAATATTCTTTGTTGGATTCCCAACATAATTAACACAAGAAGTTACCTGAAGCTACAATTTGACAAATAGAAAGCAATAATGTTACCAGTTTTTCCTTACTAACATGACCCACACACCAAATTACTAGAGATAAAACTGCTTTTATCCCTAAAACACATAGAGATGGAAAAAAGGCTGGTTANATGGTTGAAACCGTATTTTATGTACTATAAAACAATTGCAATAAAGGAGAAAACAAAAACAACTTATCTTTATGATGTGTTGGTGAACTGAGATTGTTGTGATAAATTTGTTGAACACTGACTGTTGCGATAAATCTGGCCAATGGATGAGACAGAGAACGAAACTAGATGAAATTTCAAGTTTTTTTTGACAGTAATGAGACAAAATTGATGGACAGCAGTAGTAGCTCGAGGTTTAACTTTGATATCAAATTGATACAGGACAGGAAGAACTAAAATTCAAAGAATAGAAAGAGAAGGAAAAAGAATAGAGGTAAAAGAGATTTACCTCATACTCACAAGGAATCGGTCAAGAAACACACAAAATTCTCCATGGAGAAACACTTTTTATATATCATTCTCTCTAATAAAAATAATTGTGATTACACCATTATTTATAGGTTAAGTTTCCTACTAAAATAAAAATTGCTCTACTACTAAAATATTAAAAGAATTTCATAACCAAATTCTCAAATCTCTATCCTACTAAAACTCTTTAGTAATTTCTTAGTCAAATTCTAACTACTACTCCAAGTCAAACAAATATTTCCTAACTAATAAAATAATACTAAAACAAAAAATAAAATTCAATTCTTAAATTTAAGTTCATCCAATCCCTTTTCAATCTCTATCAAACATTCTACACTAAAGAAGAAACATCTTGGGCTAGGAGAGAAAAGTTACCGTTGAAATTTTGATATAGGGTCCCCTCAAAAGTGTGTATGGGTGAATATATATCTATGAAATATTACAACTAGGTACATTCGAGGGGGTGTGTGGGCTAAATATATTCAGTATGTGAAATTTTATTAATTAACCTACATACATAAGATATCTCTATACTATAAAGAGATGTATCTACAATCCTTCACAAGCCTCTATTCCACAAATCCTAATTTCTGGTATTTTGAGTTTTTTATTTTTAATAATACTAATTGATACACACATGTGTTGTATATGAATTATTTTGAGTATCAAATATCGAAAGAAAGCTCACCAAAATGTTCTTCAATCTCTCACATAATGAAAAACCAAGATAAAAAACTTTGGACCATGAAAATAATTATTTCAATGGAATTGTTTCTACGATATTTATTCTCCAATCCAATTAAGATTTAATAAGACTTTACGCCCTCAAAAAAAAAACTTATAATCCTTACTTTACCATCCTCTTGCACCATTTCTGATTTTTTGGTATTTGATAGTAAGAAACTTCGACCAACCCTTAAATGCATCCTTGTTACTCCAGTTTCACACCATACATTTTGCATTATCTAAATGAACTTACCTTTCTTATAGTGTGATTTTGCTTAATATCAAATGTAGATTTCATTTGCTCAAATTGGTTTCATGGTTGTAGAGGGAAGCTAATATTCCATTGAGTCATGGGGTTGTTGGAGATAATGACTATTTTTATGCACTCAACATGTTGTATTTCCTATAAATTTCAATTTTACTCCTTTTCAATTTCAGAAATAAGGAACATTCGCTGTTTCATACATGATAGTTATGCTTCTAGGAGAGCTAATATTAGTGTGAAAAGGTATTGTAAAAATGAAAATTGTTTCTCAACTAACATATTTTATCTCAATTAACAAAGTGTCGAAATGTCTTGTTTCTAACAAAAACAAAAAAGAAATCCCCTTCCTTTATCCAGGATACAAATAACATAATATACATAACTTCAAAGTTTTAGTACTTTTTATACCTCTAAACTTTCTCAGTAACCAAATAGAATCTCAAACTATCACACACAAACACAAATACAAAAATACGGGCATGAATTTTATAAAGTGGAAGACAAATTAAAAAATCATTTGTATAAACCTCGATCATTTTGATGTGTGATATTAAAATGATTAATCTACTCAAAACATCAAGATCCAACATTATTTATTTTCTTCAAATCCCAAAACTGGATAACGACGTGAAAGAATGAAAAAATAAACCAATAGGACTTGCATTGGTAACTAAAGCCCCCCCCCCCCCCGGGGCACGGAAGAGGAGACTAACCTTCTATAACCAAATCAAACATTTATTCGTTATTATCATGCCAACTTCTTAAGTATAAAATGAAACAATTCAATGTTGATCTTAAGCTTAATCCAACACCTACAATCCTATCGCTCTTGTAATTTGATAGCTTCTCATCGGCTAGTGGCACCGCCTTATGCCGCACCTAAAAATACAACGTGTGGTCCATTTATGTTTATGTTTGATCCAACATTGGCTTCAATATTTGTTGCACCGAAGATTATTATAGGATAAATAAGGCATTAGAAAGTGCCCAAAATGTTATGTAATATTGCTAGAGAACTCATNTAAGATATCATTACTATATGTAATACCTATAGTCATTAGATTCCTTACTATTCTATCTTTAAATGTCTTTTAATTGTTTTTTTTGGCTAAATTTTATTTAGTGAGATTAGTTTACTTGATCTCATGTATTGGTCATTAGTCACAGATCCGTACGATGCATAGGATAGTTAGTAGAGGGACAGTTACATATACAACTCGGTAGAATATGATATGATGAAATGTTACATTTGAATTAAATAAATCAAAATTTCAAAAAAAATTAAATAAATCACAAATTTTTCAAATTAAGAAAAGTGA